CTAAACTAGTTCGAAAGGAGAGGTTGACCTGAGTTATACTGGTTTTGGAGTGTTTTTTAACCACTACAATATTGTAAAGTAATTAGCCTCCAACTAATAAAAATAAATGGAAAAAAAAAAAAACCTTCTAGTTGCTGTTTCCTCTTTCAAGGAATAGCCTTTTCTTAGATACTTAAGTAGCTCAACACCTTAGCTCTTTCATGTCCCTGCCCAATAAATGTGGGCCTTCCCTGACCAACCACTGCTATTTTACAACTTTTGCCACTTTCTATCCCTTTATTTTCTTTTATTTTCTTTAAAAAGCTTATCAAATCCTAACACCAGAGTTTGTATTTATTTGTCTACTTGTTTGTTTACTTATAAGAGGGACAGGCTAAACTAGTTCGAAAGGAGAGGTTGACCTGAGTTATACTGGTTTTGGAGTGTTTTTTAACCACTACAATATTGTAAAAGTAATTAGCCTCCAACTAATAAAAATAAATGAAAAAAAAAAAAACCTTCTAGTTTCTGTTTCCTCTTTCAAGGAATAGCCATTTCTTAGATTCTTAAGTAGCTCAACACCTTAGCTCTTTCATGTCCCTGCCCAACAAATGTGGGCCTTCCCTGACCAACCACTGCTATTTTACAACTTTTGCCACTTTCTATCCCTTTATTTTCTTTAAAAAGCTTATCAAATCCTAACACCAGAGTTTGTATTTATTTGTCTACTTGTTTGTTTTCTACCTCCCCACTAGAATGTAAGTTCATGACTTTGTCATACTCAGGACTGTAACCCTGATGGCCTACAATAGTGCCTGGTGCAGATTACACTCTCATGATTATATGATGATGTAAGAAATAGATGGGTTTTCTGAGCTGCTCACTGTTGTTCAGTCATTCCAGCCTGTCTGACTCTTTGGCGACCCCATGGACTGCAGCACACTGGGTTTCCCGGCCCTTCACCATCTCTCAGAGTTTCTACACTAGATAGCAAGGTTTCTACTAGGTTCTGTTCATTGGGTACAGTCTGTTGTGTAAGGGAAATGGGCTCAAGACAAGCTCTTCACCTTCAGAGAACCCACTGCCTGGGTATATTGAAGAAGGAAAAAAATTTCCTTTATTGATTATTTAACTCTATGGTATATGAGAACATAAAAATATAAACTGTTATACTACAGACAATAACATATTATCTTATGATACCTTGAAAGGAGATCTGAAAAGCTTTCCACACAAAGTTCCGTAAGAGGTAAACAAACAATCCAATCAGTAGAGAAGGATGGAGAAAGATACTCCAGACAGAGAAAACTATACAGAAAATGGCCTAAGGGATGGGAATGCAAGGCATGTACAGAAACCATGTCCAATTCCTAAAGGACGGAATATGTGAAGACAAGTCCTCTAACTGAAATGTTGGCATCAACCTTTGGCAATATTTGAACTCTGTTCACAGATATTTGGAATTTGTTTTCTTGGTAATGGGAAGCCATTGATGGTTTTGTGTAGTGGAGAAACATTAAACAATTGAGTAGTATCTTTTTTTTAGTATCAGGCAACTTTCTTAGAAATTAGATAAAATAATCTGGTCAATAAGTCTGAAAATAAGACTGTGGAGTTTAGGGAATAGATTCTCAGAAAGATACATAACCTGACATAACCCGAAAGGGTAAACAGCTTGTAAGTACGAGGAGTAATTTTAAAAGAGGTTTCTTATCTTGAGGCTCAGTCTTTGTTCCATTCTACCTACCTTGATCAAATCTCCAGTTTAAAACATTACTTCAGAGACTATGATGAAAAAAAGAGTATCTAGTTAGGGAGTTCATTTAGGAATGCCTACAATAAAAGGCAGGGTAGATACTGAGAGCTTGAACTAAAACAGGGGAATGGAAGTGAAAAGACAGAAGGGATAGGTAGTGTGAGGTGATTACAGAGACCACTGGACAACTGGGTATTTATTTTCCCTCTGGGGAAGTTTAGTTTTGAAGAAGAAAATAAAAATAAATTGCATTTCATTATTATTATTTATTTGGTCAACTAGCTTAGGGGAATAAAAATGAAAATAGCAGTAGAATATAAAATCTGGTGCCAGGAAAGAATTTTTTAAAAAATGGGCCCTCTGACATAAAAGCTTTCAATGTTTGTAGGTTTCCAAATCCACCCACTTACACCTGTTCAGAAACATCTGTTTTCTGGTATAATGGAAACTGCAACAAATAAAAAGGCCAGCTAATAATAACATGATGAAGAGAAAAATTTTTGTTAGCTTCTTTAGTTTTATTTTTTTTCTAGGCTTAAAAAGGGTAATTTTTTAAATAATATGTTTTTAGAACTAAATGGTGCATTATTAGTTAGACCTATGCATGAATTTGGATTCTTGGCATTTTCTTATTTCTTAATGTAGTTAGTGCATACATTATGTTCATATCTTTCAATAAATATGTAGATATTTTGATAATTTCATGTCACTGTTTATTAAGATTTGAATTATATATATGTAGAAAGAGAGAGAATGAATCCCTTTATTTCAGAATATAGTAAAAACTGCTTAAATCTTTTATTTTAGAGCTGCAGAGACTCTAGCAGCTCTAAATAAATTCAAATCTAGCACAACAATTTCTTAGCAAAGAAATAACTGGCTAAGAAGATGATCTATGGGACCTAAGAAATAAGTGAAGGAGATAGCCACACAAAAACCAAGAAAGACACCCTTTCAAGTTAACAATCTGAATTTTCAATGGATAGAGAGTAAGAATAAGCCTGGAATTTTCAATAGATAGAGAAAAATCTAGTGTGAATGAGGTGAAAAAGGCAGTGAGAGGAGACTTTGGAAAGGTCAACAGGAACAAGATTATGCTTGCCTTGGGGGCCGTGAAGGAAATATTTTTTTCTCTTTACAGAGGAAATTCATTAAAGTGTTTTATTCTAGTGAGTAAGCAGTCCATTTTATGTCTCTGAAAGTTTATTGTGATGACTCGATGGGTAATGAATGCACAAAGGCAGGAGTAGAAGCAAGGAGACCAGTTAAAAGGCTTTTGCTATAGTCCAGGTAGGAAATGATTGAAATGTTGGAGTGGAGTGATAGAGGTAATATCCAGCACTCATATTGGAGATATACAGTGGATGAATGAGTATATCTGGTAATAAATTAGCATGGAGCTTATGCCCCTAAATTCATTTTCAGTTGGTCTATGTTGCACAGAATTTCCTTTGTTTTAAATAAGCAAAAACTATTCTCTGATGATTTAAATAATAATATATTAAAATATAGTTTTAAAACTATAATTCAATACACAATGGCTTATAGTACCAAAATCTCCCTTAGATATTAATGAAGTCATTTTACCCATAAAAAAACGATGATATAACATTTATAACAAATATGATTGCTTATTTATCATTTGTGTGATTCATTCCCTATAAAATTTCTCACTGTCTTATGTCACATTTGCTTTTATGCATTGAACTGTTGTTATTTTCACAAAACTTTTATTTAAGGAATATGTCTAATGTATGAATTTCAACAAAATTGGGTCATTAAAACACAGAAATGTTTAAGTATTAATTTATTTTCAACATACAGAAGACTTATGGGTTTCTCCATGCATGAGTAAAATATAACTGAGCTATTTGATAGTAAACATGGCTAATGCTTTTAAATGAAAACCTATTCTCAATCTAGAGAAATGCCTATTTAGCCGGAATTATGTGAACAGTTTATATTTTCTGCTAAGTGCATTCAAAGTCGTGCTTGTGTAATGAGATAGTCTACATTAAGCTCTAATAATGGTTTGCTGCATGATCATCACAACGATAATGTGTGTAATTTATCACACCTGCCATTGAAGGAGCTCTAAGAATTCCACAAACAGGCCCCTCATTAATCTATTCATTTAGCTTCCTTCTTTCAAGTTTCTAAAGCTGTGCAAGAAATTATGTGGCAACTGTGGGAAAGAAAAAGGCTTTAAAATAGTCAGAAGAAGGCATTAAAGTAGGGTGGGGTGCAGGATCACAAAGACGATAAATTCTGCGTAAAACTATCTGGAGAACTGTCACAATCACATGCGTGATAGATTCCTGTTTTGTTAAACTGGAAAACACCCTAAAATATTCAGATCAAATTCTTTATTTTAGAAGTTGAACATCCCTGTTGATTTACTTACTGATCTGCCCTCCCTGGACATTTGAAACACACTGAAGACCCAGAGGTCTTTCATTCTAAAATAAAACTTGTGTTTCTCCAGTGCTGTATAATTCTGTACTCAAAAGATTGTTTCCATGTAACTAAGGTGGATGTTATGTTTATGTATAATATACTTGGTACTCGAAAATATTATTTATATTGTATAATAATAAAGAATAAAATGTATTCTGAATACATCAGTTAAGGTATATGTTCTAGGTAGGCATAAAATGTTAGGCAAGCTTGAATATTAACAGACAACAAGTAATTGTTCTTTAATTTTTGTGATCATTTCACATATATATATATATTATCAGATTATTATTTCTTAAGTACTTACAGAACACCTCCATTTGACAGATATTACATAATATTACCAAAAGTCCAACTGTTAATTAAAGGTTTCTGCAAGGATAATAAATACCTTGGAAAAAAATATTTCCAAGGTATGGATCAGGGTGGGATGAATAGGCAGAGCACAAAGGTTTTATAGGGCAGTAAAAATACTCTGCATGATACCATAATGACGAATATCTACATGTCATTATACATGTGTCCACTCCACAGAATGTATAACACCAAGTGAACCAAAATATATACTACAGAAAGGAGGTGATTATGATATGTCAATGTAGGTTCATAAGGAATATTGATGCTGGCGGAGATTATGCATGTGTGGAGCAGCGTGCATATAGGAAATCTCTGTACCTTCCTCTCAAATTTGCTGTGAACTTACACTGCTTTAAAAAAATAAAGTCTGAGGTGGCCGGGCCTTTGGAGCCCATTAGGCACATGTCAGAGCTTCATCTCCAAGGAGAGTCCTCGGGGAAGCGGCCAGGTCATGGTCCAGGTGGTGGAGCACCTGGAGCACGAAGCACTTACAGACTTGGGCAGCCATGAAGCCTACGGCGCAACTGGAGAAAGTCGTTGCTTTTGTGGACTAGCTCCACTATTGGACATGAACAGAATGGAGCCCATGATGTCAGTACTGGAGGACAAATGTCTCCACTTGAGATCCAATAGTGTGGTAGAATATATAGAGAGCCACTACAAATCTCCCTTTATCTTAGGGAGGAGTATTCTGCGCCTCCACCCACACCTCCATCCCACCCTCTGCAAGTCTTTGCCAAAGATGGATGAACAAGAGCCTGTCTCACCTGCTGAGTAGCTGTTCTAGGAAGGGGAACTCTGTTCACAAGTGGGCATGTGATCAGATGGATCAGACAGAAGCACAGGATAGTGTTTTGATATCCTGAACACTAATAGTCCCGATTTCTTCAGTCACCTGAAAAAAAAGAGATGGTTAAATGTTTTTTAGTAATTAACTCTTCTGAATACGGAAATAGGAAAGATCTGGTCAAAACAAAGCAGTGAGTTCCTGATGCTGGTGGAAATAAAGGGTATGGCCAGTTTCCAAGGAAATGGATCCAGTATTTACTCTCAGGCTATTCAGTATGAAAGATGTTATTCCCCTTTGTCTTATCCCCAAAAGACTTGTGTATCAACTGTACTTAAATAAATTTTTATATTTATGTAACTGTTAGATATTGCATCTAATCCCTATGTGACAACCTGAATTGTTCATTTGTTACTGCCATTTCTGTCCACCTGAGCAGTCTTGTCTCTTTAACAAACACACTTGAAATTGCTACTGGGTACCCGCTTTGCTCCCGGTAGAAAGAATTTTCTGCTAAGAGCTGAAGAGTGTTTAAAGTAGATTAAAGCTTGGAAACTCATAACCTAAAACTATCCACCATCCCACAAAGTGATTATATGCAAAAATGAACATTAGCCACACATATGGTTTCTCTTTCTGAAAAAAAAAAATTATCATCAAAATAGCCCTGAGACAGCTAAAAATATGGTATCCTATATTAAAAATTTGCTAACATGGTAGATCTTACATTAAGTGCTCTTGACAGATATAAAAAAATAAAGACATAGGGAGGAAATTCCAGAAGGTGATGGGTATGTTCATGGCCTTGATGGTGGTGATGGTTCTTGGGTGTATACTCAACCTCAAATTCATTCAGTTGCAAACATTAGATAAATACATATTTTTATATATCAATCATACTTTTAATAGTATTCTTTAAAATAGAGTTGAAATAAAAATTTAAATATATAATGAAGATAAAATAAATTAAGATTCACTTTGATTTAAGAAAAAATTTTAAATGAATACAGTTCTGGTTTATATCAATATTCACAAAAAATATTCTCACAACAAAAATATACTTTACTCTGCAAAAACATTCAATATAGGATTTGTATAGGCATCATTTTATATATTCCTGTGTAAGCTGTATATTTTATGTAGAAATATTATTTAAAGCTCACATGATGGGAAATAGTTTATACTCAGAAAATATTTAGATTCTTCTTTACAAGTAATATGTTTGAATGGAGTTGAGAAGCTGCAGAGCTTTGTGAAGGAGTGGCCACACACTCTAGTATTCTTGCCTGGAGAAATCTGTGGACAGTGGAGACTGGAGGGCTACAGTCCATGGAGTCGCAAAGACTCAGACATAACTGTGTAATACTTTAACTTTCTTCAGCAAGCAGATGTAGCTAATTAATTATGTAAATGTCAAGTCAAGCATCCATCTATAGGTGAAGTAGGTCAGCAGAACAAAATGTCCCCTTAATTAGATAGAAAAGGACAGTCCATTTGGAAGTGATATATGCAGATACAGATATATTTCTGAATGAATGAAATCAGAGGTTTCATTTAAAAATGCATTTAAAAATGATGCATTTAAAAACTATGTTGCTTACACCCATCTCAGGTTTAACACAAAGCCTGCCATCCTCATTTTCTATGGCCATCAGAATCAACTGCAGAAGAAAATGTACAAAATAACCCAAAACTTAAATAATTTGAGGGAGTGCCTACAAGCCTGAGGATATATGATCCCAAAGAATTTTAACTGTGAAAAAAATATTTAACATATAACTGTGTAGACATCACTTTGTATGTTGAAATTTAGCTACTTCATCATGAGGTTATCAAAAAATAACTTTTACTCCGAAACATTATAGGCAGGATTGATTCCCCCAGGTACTCTTTGCATCCCATTGCCCTCCTTTACTAAAGGCCTTGAATAGGCTTTATGTTGCATGTGTCAGACCCATTCAGGGTCATCTACATTTACCTCCTATATTTTGCTCTCATTGAAGATAATTATATTGTTTTGTATGCTTTAAGCTTTACGTAAATACTATCATGCTATGCACATGTTTTTCCAACTTGTTTCTTTGCCATGATCTTATGTTTTTAGAACTTCATCTTTGTTGATACATGTAAATAGAGTTAGTTTATTTAAATTGCCCTGTAGCATAACATATTATGGATGTGAAATAACTTATTCATCCATCCACCTGTTGATGATGGCAACAAAACTTCACAGATTCGCAGGAACAACATACAGAATTTTGCAAATCCTTAGTGGTAAATGTGATAAAATATTTTAAAGATGTAATTAATAACACTAAAATATATGGAAAGATATTTGTATGTACTAGATGAAAGACTAAGTGTCATAAAAATCATGATTTTCCACAGAGAAGTCTATCCATTTAATGTAATTCCAATCAAAATCAAAATAGGACTTTTTGATAATCTGACTCTTACATTCACATTGAATATAAAGAATCAAAAATAGTGAGGAACATTTTTCAGAACCAAAACAAGCTGAAAAGTATATCACACGAGCATCACTCTTGACTTGCTTTGCCTCCTGCCCCAGGCTTTTGTTTCACTGAAGTCTGAGGCATCTGCTTTTCACCACGTGTGTGCTCTGACCTCACCTGCCTCAGCTCATGCATTTGCTGTGTCCTTTTTGCCTTCTGTCTCAGAGTTTCCCTGTTCACACCAAGTCATCAAACTCTGATCAGTCTCAAATCACGGAGGACATGAAAGGGCATGAGAATAAATGCCTCATGAATACATATTTTTCTTTCCCCCTCTGCAAAGTCTGAGACTCAAAGTAGATAACGTATTTGAGGACTGTCCAGCAATAAGTTACACTTATGAGTTCATCCTCCTAGCAGTCCATTATTCCACTTTTCTCTCATTTCTCCTCCCCAACAGGTTGTACTACATAAGCTTTCTGTTTAGTCTCTGCTTCTTGGAAAATGCAGAATAAAACACAGCCAGGGTTAACATAAAGCTGTGGTTATTAAGACAGTTTGTTATAGGTACAGAATGTGGCAAGAATACACAGAAGAACTTTACAAAAAAAGATCTTCATGACCCAGATAATCACAATGGTGTAATCACTCACCTAGAGCCAGACATCCTGGAATGTGAAGTCAAGTGGGCCTTAGAAAGCATCACTACAAACAAAGCTAGTGGACGTGATGGAATTTCAGTTGAGCTATTTCAAATCCTGAAAGATGATGCTGTGAAAGTGCTGCGCTCAATATGCCATCAAATTTGGAAAACTCAGCAGTGGCCACAGGACTGGAAAAGGTCAGTTTTCATTCCAATCCCTAAGAAACGCAATCCCAAAGAATGCCCACTACCGCACAATTGCACTCATCTCACACGCTAGTAAAGTAATGCTCAAAATTCTCCAAGCCAGGCTTCAGCAATACGTGAATCATGAACTTACAGATGTTCAAGTTGGTTTTAGAAAAGGCAGAGGAGATGATGTTTAGAAAAGGCAGATATCAAATTGTCAATATCCGCTGGAATGGATCATCGAAAAAGCAAGAGAGTTCCAGAAAAACATCTATTTCTGCTTTATTGACTACACCAAAGCCTTCGACTGTGTGGATCACAATAAACTGTGGAAAATTCTGAAAGAGATGGGAATACCAGACCACCT